AAATAGAGGGGGTTACCGTTGACGAAAACGGTTTATTTTAAACTTTTCTATGAGTAGTCCGAAAAAAACAGTTTATTTTTGTCTAATGGCATTCGCTAGCGTGTTCGCTCCAAATTCACCTGAAGAAATTGCTTGCAGACTTTCAGCGCCCACAGGTTTAGAGCCTCAATATCAAACTGCAGCATCTACACATTCTCCAAGCAGAACAGACAATTCAAATTCAAATTTGTCCTGCAATTCGCTCAATCCAAAGCCACTTTCACTACCAAAAACAATACCAAACGAGCTCCGTATTACAAAGAACCACAGCAACGCTGAACTACGCAAAATACTACTCAGATTGTCTGAAGAATACTTCAATTCAAAGCCAGAAGAAAGAGTTGCTGCAACTTTTAACAAAGAATATTGTGAACAACTCAACAAAGTTCTTGCAGACTTTACCAAACTACAAAAAGAAACACCTGACCCATTCGAATTAGGCGACACAATTGTCAACTATTTTCCAACAATAACAAAGATAGTGTTTGACAGAACTATATGTCAGCTTATTGAAAGTCTTCCACCCAAAGCTGCAAAAAAAGTCGAACAGTTTTGTGTCGAATTCAAATTAAAGAGTTACGGATATCAGGATGACGAAGAAGAACGTGAGTACGGACAAGAAACAGCAAAATGGCAATGTCTTAGCTCACTCAACCCCAAGTTCAAACCATTATTTTACTCAGACAACAACACAATTCAAGTACGCAAAATTGCTATTCATTTCGTTAACCAAGCAGAAGACATTGAAGAAGGAGACTCTATCTCAGTTTATGTTTGCTACTGCAAGTTTTTCAAGGACGAATTTGGAGGACCAATTCTCATGCATGTCTTCAAGCCACATCAGCAACTCTACGTTGAAACTGAAATAACACTCATGCATGGAATGTATCTCAAGTTTGAAAGCCAATTGGAAAACACATACAACATTTGGCTTTCATACATTCAATTCGATACACCAGATGACTTTGATGTTGAAGAAGAAGACTCTACTCAAGAAGATGAACCACAAGACTAACAATTTTCCGAATAAAAACTTCATTATACTAAACATCTTCAGGGCTAGAAGGGGCGCAGCCCCTGGAAGCCCCACTACCTTTTTTTTTTTTTTTTTTTTTATGATGTAATAAGCAATTTTCAAATCATTGATTTTTTTTAATATTTCCGAATCACATTGAAATTTTCTTGAAAATCAATGAAAAGACGGCAGCATTTAGGAATATAATGATTTTTTTGACTCTTGGCATTACTCGTTTTAAATACAAAGTTGGAGAGGTGTTCACAAGAAAAATATTAAAAGCCAATAGTTAGTGTTGATGAAATTTGTTTACGATCATTAGAAATCGATTACTGGAGTTTATAAAATAGCACATAAATGAAAACAGGACTACTCATTGAAAAACATCTGTAAGTCTTGCTTTTCAAAACCCTAAAATAGAATCACGATAAATCTAATCCCAAGTTGACTAATGAAACACTTTTGACATTACAAAACTATGATCTTCTAGATATTTGTTTATTAAGTCAAAAAGAGCGCTTCAGTTTGAATTCGATACCAATTCAAAGGATTAATTGCTAGAAACTAACTTTGGCAACTTATGCCGAGAAACAATTTCGTTAAATAAGATTCCAAAGAACGAATTAAAGTCGAAATACCAATAAAAATAAAATGTGATGTATAAAACTTTACGGTGCAATATTTGCATATGTTTTGAATTTGCATCAGAATATACTCATTGAGTTATAACAAATTCAATGGAACTTCCAAATATATCTAGTATTTCAGGTAATTTTTTCAAAAGATCACACCAGCTTTATCAATTTTTTTTTGAAAATTCGATCAATCAGATAAAGGGTGTTTGTTTTTGGCACGATGGTATTATCGCTATGAAAATTTTTCGACTATTCAATCAAATTTTTTTTTTCGACTTTCAAGTCAAAAATTTTGTTGATCTTCACTTTCCAAACAAATTGGAATGACTAGCGATAGTATAATATCCAAGATAACATTATTCCTAAATACATTTAGAACAGAAAACCAAGAAGGTATTATTAACAAAGGAACTCTAAATTCTCTCGCTAAAAACCAATTAAAAAACCCCGATGAATTTAACATTAAAGAATCAAAAAGTTCCATTCGCAAATGGTTCAGGGATAGTATCCAATATAAAGAACCTTTTATCTGGATCAGGTCAGGAGATTCCGAAAAATTCAAAATGACTGATTTTCAAAATTTCATAAAAAATGACCAGGAAATTGTTGACTTATTAGGTAGTGATTACACCCATTATGGAATTACATTGTCAAGGAAGCAAAATCATTTCGATATCATTCTAATATTAGCAAAAATGAACTCAGAAGAGTTAATTAATACTACAATCATCCAAACATACATCAATGCGATCGATAGATTAAGACGAATTTCGAATTGCAAAAAGATAGAATGGTCCGAATATTTATATCAACTTTCCATGAAACAGCTAAAAAATAATATTAAGAACAACAACCTGTCAGCACAAAACAGTGTTGAAAAATACATTAGTGATTTTGTCAAGAATTTCAAAACGGGATACGTTCAAAAAGAAGGAGATTTAGAAGATGTTATGAAGTATTGTTCACATTGGAGTACTGATGACCAATTCAGGAATGATGCAATTGGTGATTATGATAAATTTGGAATCAACTGGATTATCAATGAAAACGGTTTTACAATTTTCTATATTTTTTCGAAGAAATTAGATAAATCAAAGGAAACAAAGGAATCTCAAAGAAAAGAGAATACTACAGAAAACAAACCAAGCAAGAATACTAATGAAGCAAACACAACTCCTAAACCAACAATGAATGAGAATAAAAGTAATCCTAAACCAACAATGAATGAGAATAAAAGTAATCCTAACCAGCCTTCACCAAGAAATCCAGTTTCAAAGATATCTGTGAAAAAGATGGAATCTACAAACCGACAAGAGAAACCAGAGAATTTACCAAGCGTCTCATCCAGAAGAAAATCAATAGATGGACCCAGCCAAACAAATCCAACAAAGAAAATCGTTGTAAGTTCCACCAAAGCTAATGAAAATCAAAAAGTTGATTCTCCAAAACAAGATAATGCAGCAAAGAAAAATGAAAAGCCAAATGAAATTCAACTTTCTCACCAACCATTGGACACTTCTCATTCACAAGTTATTCCTCTAACAAACAATGTTTCTCAGGATTTCTCAGTTAATAAACCAATTTCTCGTAGTGAGGAAACTTTTATTGTGAACAATGAAAGCTTTTACCCATATTCTTATGATGATGTGTTCAAGATCCTTGATCAATTCAACAAAATGAGAATTGCCAAAAAGTTCAAGCCAATGACATTTTCAAAAGAATATAGTGACATCATTCAAAAAACTTTGGAAGAAAACTATACAAGCTTACAAAACATGAATTCTGAATGGAGGAAAAAGGTCCAAGATGAAATTTCATCAAAGCTTCTAAAGGAATGTTATAAACAAGAATTTCATTATAACTGGTAGTGGTCATAGAAATCCATTAATTGATCATGCATATAAATCATTGTCTGATGAAAGTGAATGTCCAGAAGAAAAATATTCACATATTGCTCTTGGCGCAGCAATAAAAGGAACTGGTCATGCAATTGTCATACTATCAATAAAAATGTATACTCCAAATATCAAGTTGATCACATCAAGAAATGAAATGACGCTTCTCAGTCTGAAATTAACTAATGAATTTCGCGCTTCTCAAGGAAAACCTCCACTCTCTCTTAGCTTCGAATTATGCGGAATTGCGCAGCCTCATGCCGACTGGATGCTTGAAAATTCAAACATGAGCCACCATGGATGCGAAGAGAGATTCAAACAGATGTCAAGAAATTCAATGGCAAGTGAAAATGTTGCAGTTAATTCTTACATTGATTTTCCTGTCGAAAAAGTTATTAATCAATGGATTAACTCTCCTGGACATAGAGCAAACATGCTGTCCAATACATCATCATATGGCTTTGCTTACGCAACAGACGGAATCTATTTCTATGCTATCCAATTATTCAGCCAGTATTTTGTTCCAAATAAGAACATATTTACCTCAAGATACGAGCTCACACTACAGGCTTTGAATCTTATTAATGATTTTCGCGAAAAGAATGGAAAAATGCTGCTCAAATTAGATAATGATTTATGCGGAATTGCCCAACAACAAGCTGATTATATGCTTCAAAAAGGTGATTGCGATCTCTCTTGTATTAATGAGAGATATAAGCAAATGAAACCTTTTAAGTCTGTTAGGGTAGTTGTAGGATACCACGCTGGCCAGGAAAATTTTGTTGAAGCAATGGTGAAAGGATGGATTGAAGAACCCAATAACAGAAAATCAATACTTAGTAATTCTTCTTCTTATGGTTTTGCTTATTATACTGATGGATATAATTTCAGTGGCTTGCAATTTTTTGTTGAATATATGTAAATTGTTAATTTTTGAATTCTTTTATTGTTATTTCGTTTAATAAGCGGAATTATACCAATTATTACATTTGAAGAAATTCACAGCTAAATCTATTACATTGTATAAATCCACACCAATAAAATGCTTAATCAACAAAAGATCAAATTGGTTTTAAGCTACATACAATGCTATTGGATTCATTCATAAACCACTTAACTAGAATGGCTCTTCCTAGGCTAGATTTGTTTGCGTTTTATGATTTATTTTATTTATCGGCGCTACAATCCGATAATTATTGATATAAAACACAATCAAAATGTCACTTTTAATATCGGCAATAAGGTACCACCAAATACTTAAATACAAACGATACCCTAAAAATGTGCTATAATAAAATTTCAATGTTTGATTGAATTGACCTATTTTAGATTTTGCTAATTTTATCGACTTTCTTAGCTATTCAGCTTTCCGAATATTGTGAAGCACCTAAAAAGACACCAACGCCACTTACGAACATGACACTTATTTATGCTTCAATCATGACAAGACACGGCCATCGTACACCTGAATCTGCTTTATTAAATATAACACAGAGAGGTAGATGGTATTGCGATGAAGGAATCGAACTTTATAGAGAGGACGAAGAGCCATCGTTTTTGATTCATACAGGCACATATAATCCGTCAAATTATTCGTTTTTACCTAATTGTCAAGGTGGTGACTTAACAACCATCGGAAGACGTCAGCTTAGAAATCTTGGCTCACTGTATAGAGAGTATTACATCGATAAACTTCATCTTCTTTCTAAATATTACAACGAAACTGAATTTTATGCCAAGTCCTCACCCGTAGATAGAGCGTTCAAGAGTGCTTATGAATTTGTAAATGGATTTTACCCTCCAGAATTTACAAAACAACATATCCACGTTGATGCTGGATTATCCAGAGCAAATCCATTGAATTTAGATGTACAAACATGCGAAGATTACAAGAAAGTTCGCACTGATTTCAGAAACGGACCAACTTACAATGAATATCTTGAAAAAGTTTGGCCTATACTCGAACCAGCTGCCAAAATATTCAATCTTACTAAGACAGTTCCGCACTTGCGTTATTTATGCAGCTGGACCACAGCTTTCAACTGTGCAACTGATGCTCCAAGGCCAGACTTTTTCACAAAAGAATTTGTCGAAGCTTGCCTTGGCGAACAGGTAATTTCCAAGTTTGGCGTTTACAACTCGAGCAAATACGGAAGTATCGGCGCATCTCCTTTATTCAGGATGTTCTTCCATGATATCGAGACATCTATTCAAAGTGGAAGAAAGCTCATCTACTACAGTGCTCATGATGCAACAATTGCTTCAATTTTGACATTCCTCAAGAAATTTTCTAAATTTGTGCCTCCGTACGCTTCCCACTTTGTAATTGAGCTGTATAGAGATGAAAACACTTCAAAGAACTATCTTCGCTTCTTTATTAACGGTGAGAATTTCAAAGTCGAAGGATTTGATGACTATCTAGTCCCATACGATGAATTTAAAGAGAGAGCACTTCCGAAGTTAGTTTATTGTAAGAATATTCCAGTCTAATTATATATTTATTAAATAATTTTATTATTTCGATTATTTTTCTTATCATTCTTCAAAATTTTACTTAGCTATAATAAGAATTTCATACATTCAAAATAAAGACTTATGATTCTTTTCAAGCAATATTTTTGTATCAAAATAGATCCAAATTTGAACACAAATTGAAGAGGGGCATTCAGAATAAGAGACCAATACCAAGAAATAAACAATTCCTCAGATCTCTCAATCATACTGTCGTTCACAATTCCAAATGACAAAAATGTGTGCATTGAAAAAAAAATCTTCCCAAAAAAACAAATTTTAACGGTTACATGATGTATACAAATAATTCAATAACAATAGTGATTTCAGAGAAATAATCATCGTTTTCTCTCAAAAAAATTTAAATGGGTAATCTCTACACCGACCTTCTACAGGTTGGTGCGAGTATGCTGATTCTTATTGGTATAGGATGGTTACTCCAGAAACTTCAAATCGTTACCGCTGCAGAATTTGGAAAAGCAAATAAATTATGTTCAAAAGTCGGACTTCCATTCTTAATGTTTAATACATTTGTTAAACAAACGATTAAAAATTTATCATGGTGGTCTTTATAGTTAGTATGGTTATGTTGGGTACTGTGGCACTGCGCGCCTCCGTACACCACTTAACGGTTTTGACACTTTACGAAACCGGTAACGTATATTTTACAACACAAACGACAACACTAACTTAACCTTAAATATTTACAAAACCACCACCCACTTCACTTCACTAACGAACTCACTAATGTAAAAAAATAAACGTTCTCACTATCGTTCTCACTAACGACTTCACTAATGTTCTCATAAATTTTCCTCAATATCTTCATCATCAGTGTTAACCCTATTGTAGTCATACTTGAAGCCATAAACTTTCTCTAACTTCTTAACGTACAATTTACATAACTTACCTTCGTCATCATATGGTTTAATGATATAACTATTTCTATCTTTATACACAGTCAATGAAAAGTCAACTGGTCTCGGATGTATTTGAAAGAACATGTTATGCTCAGGAAGGAAGAATAAATGTTTAAATGTATGTTTGTTATATTTTTCGATTTGTATGAGTTGCTTTTGTTCTGTCATTTACATCCAAATAAAAATTTTCAGTAAAATAAAAAATAAACTTAAAAATTAATTATATCACCACCCTCACACGTATGAAAACATAGCACAAAAATAAATTTAGGTGAAGTGGTGAGATCTCACCTCTTTTTTCACCTGTTTTTTCACCCTGTTGAATTCATTGCTTTATAACTCTCTTCCTTTCTCCAACTCTTCTAACTTCTTCTAAGTTCAGCAATGTTGTCCTCATGAAGTTTAATCTTCCTTAATATCCTTCTCTATCTAATGGTTGCTTTATCTTTCTAAACTGAACTCTACCATCCTTCATAGTATGAATGTAAAAACCTTCTGGAATAGTTCCTGATTTAATGTATTCTACCAAAAACTTTTGTTTCATTGCTTCAGTGACTTTAGTCGTCATTTCAATCAAATAAAAATTTTAATATTAAATAAAAATAACGTTATTTTTTTCAGTAAGGAAACGCAGGAGTTTTACGATTTATTTGAGGAGTAGGTTCTGGTTTAAATGTTGGAGTCGGTTTAGGAGTTGACTTTTGAACAGGAGTTTGTACTTCCATAGGTTCAGGAGTCATTGAAGGTTTTGCTTGTGAAGGTGTTGGAGTTTGTTTAACTTCAGCTACTTCAGTATTATTTACAACATTTGCTTTATTTCTTTTCAACATCATAACTGCTCCTGCTGTAGCTAGCAAACCTAGTGGGAGACCATATTTTATATAAGGACTTGACCAAATGCTATTTTTGACAGGAGCTGGTGGAACACCTAACCTTGGTGAGACTGCTCTTTGCCATTGTGCAGCTCGTAAGAAATATTCAATAGGTGCTCCATAATCGTTTGGTAAAGTTTGTTTCACAGATGGTGAAGGTTCACGAGAGCTTGATGAAGAACTCATTTATAAGCTTTAAAAATAAACGTTCATCCTTTATTCCTCACTGTCGTCCGTAGCTAAGTTATAGTCATCTAATCTTATTATTGGGATTCCATTAGCACGCACCTGAATGGCAAAGCAACAATCCCTCATAAATCCAATAAGTGGCTTTGGTACATTTTCAGTTGCTAGTTCAATAGGTCCTTTAACAGACAATTTGTATGTTATTGGAGCAGTAGATATTTGACCTTGCTGGAAGCAAAAGTCCACTTCTGTTGGAAAACCACATAAGAAATGTGTGTTGTCATAGCTATCCCATTTATGTTCCACACTACCATCATCCACCAATGACCTCATAACATCTTCATTAAATCCTATCATATCATTGTTTGTATTGCAGGCGTTCGCAACCATTTCATAAAATACAGGTCCATATGATTTTTCAGGTTCTGCAGGCATATTTCCATAAGCTCCCATGGAAAGCTGAAGATATTTAAACTTAGGGTTCTCAAAATTAACATAATAGTTGTCTTTCTTTCTAAATAGTGCCCAAATACTTTTAACATTAATAGGCGTATAAGCTGCTGTAAATGTTGCACTTGAACTATCTGTATTCTTTGAGAATGAACCGTCCATAGGAATCCAATCCATAACTTTAACAGGAAAACATAAAGCCTCGTTTGTATAATGTTCTACAAGTTCTGTATAAATGTTAGGGTCTAAAGAGAATGACTTTGGATGAATGAAACATTCATTAAAATCCATCTTTGTTCGAAATAGTTGCTGGGTTACAGTTGTAATAGTAACTGTTCCACTAGCTTCTACTGCCTTCGTTATCATAGTGAATGGTTCATTCCATGGAACAAATTTATTTGTCGGTGGATTTGAATCTGAAGCAAATGCAACTTTAAGAGTTGGATTGAAAGCAATGATATCATTTACAGATATAGATGTGCATTGTAAGGCGTCGCTACTGAACTTTACTTTAAGCTGAATGTTTCCTGCAAAAGCTGGAATAAATCGAATAGCTTCTAATGGAAGGAATCTTCTACTTGAGGTTAGTTCCCAAAGGAAGGCGACTTGTTCGTTTCCTTCAGGCTCTTCTAGCTGTTGTTGCTGAACTATTTCTTCCATGTCTGGTTGTATCTGAACTTCTTCCTGTGGAGTTTCTTGTACCTCATCTGCTGGCATTTCATATATTCCGAGACCGTTTTTAAACAATTCCCTATTTAAGTCATCTGCATTCATAAGCCTTTCTTCTTTCGTTCGCGTCTCTATTTTTTACGCGTTTCATTGAAGATAGTTGAATCATCATTTAGCTCGACACAAAAATCTCGGAGTAAATTCGTTCATGTCATTTGGATGATATGCTATTAATCATATCCCTTTGCGAGCTTGTATTTTCCAGGTTTGAAATTATATCCGATTTGGTGTTGAGCCATAAAGCTAAATAGGTTCGGGTCAGTATTTCCTCCTTTGAACTTTCTAATAGCTTCTTTATATCTGTCACTAAAGTCAAGAGTATCTGGGTAACCATAGTCTTCCTTAAGCATTTTTAAGAATTCTTGGTTTCCTTGTTCTCTACTTCTTTTATGTCCTTGCTCTGTTTGTGGAGGTGGTTGTTGTGCAGGGTTTTGAACTGTTGGTTGTGGTGTAGTGTTTTGAACTGTTGGTTGTTGTGTTGGTTGTTGTTGTTGTTGTGCTGGATTTTGAACTGTTGGTTGTTGTGTTGGTTTTGGGCATGCCTGTGTCTGTGTCCATGTGACGAGTGTAAATGTTTTAGGTATCCTGGTGCAGGTGCTTCTCTTGGGGTGTTTGGTGGTATATAAATCCCAACAGCTGGCACATATGTTCCACCAGCTGGCACATATGTTCCATCTGCAGCGTAATGTCCTACCTGACTTTTCGTTTTTTAAGAAAGCATTTACTAGGTCTGTTTTGGTCTGTTGTAACTCTTTTTCTTGACTTTTCACACAGTTGCTCTAACGGCGTCATAGGCACTTTGAACTGCCTGTCTCGTTGCTGCATCTGTATTTTCGTCATATTTTGTTGCTACTTCTTTTAACTCTTTGTCGAAACCTTCAGACTTCAGTTTCTTCCAGATGAGAAGTCGTTCACTTGTTTCACCTTACTATGAAGAGCTTCGAAGGCGTTTCTTAAGTCAGCATTTGTTAAAGCTTCATTTGAACTGTCTTCATCCGCTTGTATTTTTGTCCTTATGACCCTATAAGCTGAGCTGCTTTAGCGTTGGCTTTGGGCATCTAACCAGTCATTGTTAGCTTTTATATATTCTGCGCTTTTCATTGCCTTTTGCATGGCTGCGTCGTTATTTTTACTTTCTTGTGCTAAGTTTTCATACTGTACCGGTTTGGTTTTGCAACTGTAAAAGTTTTTCTGCCTTTACAGTTGCTTCAAACTTCTTTTTTATACTCATCGCTATCCATATATGTCTTCAGGGCTTTTTGTTTTATCTCTTCATCTTTCAGTACTTTATATCGAGTGTATGGTTTTTCAAATTTATGGACATCTTGTTCCATTTTTGCTACTTCTTGCTGCTTTTCTGACACTTTTTTCGCATATTCCTACTGTACTTAGTTTTTCAGTTGTTCTTCTTTCTTCTTTTTCTCTACGTTTAACTCATTGAGTTTCTTTGTGTGTCTGTCATATTTCTAGTTCTTTTTCTTTTCACCTATTTGCTTCTGTATTGTCTATGTTTGACTTTTTGACATCTGCTATTGATTTTTGAGTGAGCTCAAAATTCATTTGACTTTGAGGGTTATAAGCTGTTCGTCTGCAGCTCCACCATAGCCTGCCATTTTCGCTTAAAAGTGCCGCCTCTTAAACCTCCACTCTGTGCACCAATAACTCGGTTAAAAAGCATAGGGTTGCTTGACATTTGTTGCAACATAGTGGGTCATTCATCATTTGTTGTTGCAACTGTTGTTGTGGTGTCATTTTACTATGGGATGTTTCAATGCTCCCTTCCTCTTACGTATATTCTTACGTAGCTTACGTGCATTTTTAA